GAGTCAGTGAGTGAGTGAGTAAGTCAGTGAGTGAGTGTGAGAGAGTGAGTAAGAGTCAGTCAGTGAGTCAGTGAGTCAGTGAGTCAGTCAGTGAGTGAGTGAGTCAGTGAGTCAGTCAGTGAGTGAGTGAGTCAGTGAGTGAGTGAGTCAGTCAGTGAGTCAGTGAGTCAGTGAGTCAGTCAGTGAGTGAGTGAGTCAGTGAGTGAGTGAGTGACTGAGTCAGTGAGTGAGTGAGTCAGTGAGTGAGTGAGTCGCTTTTTGCATAATTCACTACCATTCAAAATTTAGGGTCAGTAACATTTTTTAAAATAAATTAATACTTTTATTCAGCAAGGATGCATTAAATTGATGAAAAGTGACATTTATAATGTTTCAAAAAGCATATTCAGTATAAATGCTGTTCTGAACGTTCATTAGAACTCATCAAAGAATCCTGAAAATATAAATAAATCTCAGTTTCCCAGAACTGTTTTGAACACTGATAATAATCATAACTGTGTGATTTCTGAAGGATCATGTGACACTGAAGACTGGAGTAAAGATGATGAAAATACAGGAATAAATTACACTTTACTGTATATTCACATAGAAAACTACTGATTTACATTATAATAATATGTCATATTTTGCTGTATTATTAATCAAAGAAATGCATTTTTGGTGAAGAGAACAGACCTTTTGCAAAAACATTACTATCGTCTATAGTACATCAAACTATTATATCTCAAAAAACAATAAAATAGAGAGCGAGCGACTGATGGAAACACCTGTGTAATAATCTAATAAGACAGAGATGGAGTGATGTTCATGATGACACATTCCTCCTCATCTCTGTGTGTGTGTGTGTGTGTGTGTGTGTGTGTGTGTGTTAATTATCATGGAGAAACGCGTTACGCTAGATGACAGTAATTGTGTTGTGTACACTAACAGACACGCAATCAATACCCTCATTACAATACAGAGCAAACACGAGGGCGTGTGTGTGTGTGTGTGTGCTTGTTTTCATCATTAGATGATGATGGTTCTCCATGAAGGGTGAGGGAAAGGTTTCATGTTGTGTTTTTCTCTGCGTGAAACTACAAAGAGTTTGTAAATTTGTGATTCTGTTTCCCAGAATAGCTAATCAGGCATCTGGCCTATTTTAGCGTGTCTGGTCATTTACATTCAGATTACGCTTTTATATAATCAGACTGTATAAATATGAGACTTTATGAGCTGAGAAATTAAACAAACAAGCCAAAGTCATTTACATTTTTCCACCCATAAAGCTGTATTTCACTTTAGGATGTATTGTTTAAGATATAAACAGAGCAGTCAAAATTTTTATAGAGGCTATAGATCTTTTTTTATTTCTACTGCCTTACGTGAGCGCACAAAACATGAATGTTGATTATTCTCCTCATATTCTCCATTGTTGCGGCTCCTCTCTTCCCAGTCTGTCAGTAATAGAGCCAGACCGATATATCGGCCGGCCGATATTAGGCATTTTCCAAAATATCGGTATCGGCATTATAATGGCCGATAAGTGAATATTTAAAAAATAAAATAAAAAACGGACGAAACACGCTTCAATCATCTCTCCCTGGCCTGTTATATTGAAAATGTTTGTTTTACAATTTGCAGTATGACGTTATCTATTGCTAAATTATAGCTCATCATAGACTAGCTGACCACAAAGCTAGCTAATGCCACTATCATCAGTGGAAGACCGTTAACATTAATAAGCTTGGAAACCACAATGAACTTTTTCTGCCTAAATAAAGTAATGATTACTGTATTCATATAGCTAGCATATCTCTAGTTACAGTCCCTGCATTGTAAAATATAAGTTATACTTGCGAGGAGTGAACATTTAGAAAAAGTATCAAACGTATCTTGTGCATAAAAGTTAGCTTTTCTTTTACATGTATGTGAAATTCAAACAATATTTAATAAAAATAATATATCGGCCGATATATCGGATTTTAAAACCCAAAAATATTTGTATCGTAATTAGGGTTGGGTATCGAGAATCGAGTATCGATTGGAACCGAGACTAACTTTTAGTTTTTCCCGGAATCGTTCAAAAGTTAAAATTTCGATTCCTAGTTTCGATATTCACAGTCCGCTGAGCGGAAGAAGAAACCGCTGAACAACACCAACGAAGAAGCGTCTACCGGAAGTGTTGGCATAACCACGCGAGTCGAACATGAGTACCTTACGTCGGCCATCCAAAGTGTGGCTTCACTTTTCTAAAAATAAAGAAATCTCGGCAAAATGCAAAATTTGTGACAAAAGGAGTATTTTTACAGAAGGAGTATTTCCTTCAGAAAGACCGTTGGTTAGCAAGGTTAGCTAAACTTTTTTGACCCTGCCCCTTAGAAGAATCGGAATCGAGAATCGTTAGGAACCGGAATCGAAACAAGGAATCAGAATCGGAATCAGAATCGTTCAAATTTAAACGATACCCAACTCTAATCGTAATGGCCTTCAAAATCCTTTATCGGTCGGGCTCTAGTCAGTAACGCTCTGTTTACTTCCTGTCTCCTCCTTCTGAAAAGCACACTCTGCTCTGATTGGTCGACTGGATCAGTGTGCTGTGATTGGTCGAGCGCTTCGAGTGTGTTTGGGAAAGTCCCGCCCCTTCCCATAACCGCCAGTTTAACACACTACTAACTAACTCAACCAGGCCCCGCCCCTTTATTCTGCGCATGAATTATTATTAGGGCTGTATTCAACCAAAGAAATCCTTAGTCGACCAAAGTCGAGTCCTGCGCAACGATTAGTCGACTAAAAAAAAAAAAAAAAAAAAACGTGATGTTTTGATTAAACATTTTTTAAACAATTGTCATTGAGTATTTATAAAATAACAACGAAAAAACATCCTAAATAAATAAAACTATAATAATAATAATACAATTCTTTGAAAATTAAGTGATTTTTTAACTGCAAAAAGAGAAGAGCTCTGTCCTCGGTCTAGTCACAATTATCTGCCACATAATGAAAAATCCCAACAAAAGCTCTCGTTTATACAGGCTTTATATTCTTAACTTTAGTCCTGACGATCAAGGCGTTTTAAACAACACACAAAAAACCCAAATAACTTAAAAACTCCTAATAATAGGCTGTAGGACCGCGTGGTTTATTTTCGTTTTGTTGCATTATTTAGGCTATTTTCAAATGCGTCAAGTGTACAAATAAAAACGAAACCATTAAGAAAACACAATCTATTGAGTCAGCATGATATAGCCGTTAAAAAGCTGCTCACGTCTTTTGCGCGCTCAAGTTCGATTTCAAATGTAGGCGCGCGACTTGCGCGCTCATAATGGAGCAACGCGATCGCCTCCCTCCACAGTCTTGTCGTCTTCGTTTTAAAATGCAGCCAGACAAAAGATTTAGATTCCCTGGACATTTTGTCGACTAAAGCCAAATCAAGCAGCGTTCTAACTGAATGAATACAGCATCCCTTACCGAGCGCGAGCAGCAGCGCAGCCGGCCACAGGTGCGGTTCCCGAGTGTATTATGTGTGTGCGCTAAACTGTGGCGCTGTTACAAAAATAGCCTAAATTAAAGCATTTTAAAGTTGGGGACAAAGCATAGGCTAATTATATTTAGAATACAGTAATAAATAACTGCTTATAAATGAATAACTATCAAGGAGTAAATCATTGAAAAATTCTTTCTATTGGTAAAAAAAAAAAAAAAATGCAACTGGTCGACCAATAAGAATGTCAGTCGACCAAGACGGCATCGACCGATTAGTCGACTAAACGACTAAAGTTGACAGCCCTAATTATTATAATGAGGAATATTGTGACGTGTTCGTTCCCGGGAGAAACTCCAGACTACAATGGAGGCGTTTCAGGAGTTCAGAAACACTGACACTCATATAGAGAAGAACTGGAGCGTTTTCATAGAGATGATGTGGAGAAAATAGAGTAGCTGGTCTGTAAACAGCGATGTGTGTGTGTTCCCTCATCAGGCTCTGACGACCGGCAGCATCCCGGGCTTCATCGACGTGGTGATGAACCTGAACTCTCCGGCTCTGCTGGAGGATAACCTCATCTGGCAGGCCAAGAGCGCCGGCAAGCGGATCATCTTCTACGGCGACGACACGTGGGTTCGACTCTTTCCCAAACACTTCATGGAGCACGACGGCACCACCTCCTTCTTCGTGTCCGACTACACCGAGGTGAGATGAGCTGAACTCAAAGTGTGTGTTTCATTTGTCTCACAATTCTTCTGGTCACTTAATTTTTCTTCAATCTTTTCATTTTAACAGTAAATCTCTGTTGTGCAGCACTTTGACAAATTTCATATGATTAAAAGATAAATTTATGGTTTATCCCTTCATTTGATTGCCAGAAAAATGTAAATACACTACACTGAATGTTTTAAAAGCAAAATCAAAACATTTCATAGAAATATATATATTTTTTTAATAGATTTTGTGTTTTTTTTATGAATGCTTTTTGATTTAAAATGAACCATTAAAATTTAATCCAGAACACTTTACTAAAAATGTAATTTTTGTTGAAACTGTTAGTAAATTGTATACGTTTTATTGATTTCAATCACATGCTTTTTGATTATTACAATTAATAAAAATATTTAAATGAACTTTTTAAAAAATGTAACAATTTGGAAAAACAGAATCCAGACAAATTAAAACAGGATAAATCTAACTGATTTCATAAAGCCCTAGTATTGGGAGTTTCACTTGAAAAGCTTTTCAATGGGTCATGATTCCTCACGTTTATGCTTGTTTTTGACCGAGTCTTATTTCTTCTCACCCTCTCTCAGATTTTAATATCTCTGTCTCGTTCCCTCAGGTGGACAATAACGTGACCCGTCACCTGGACGGCACGCTGAAGCGGGACGACTGGGATATTCTGATCCTGCATTACCTTGGTCTGGATCACATCGGGCACATCAGCGGACCCCACAGCTCCCTCATAGGACCCAAACTCATGGAGATGGATGACATCATCAAGAAGATTCACTCCTCGCTCATATCAAAGGTGTGTTTCAGCTTCTCTTCAACATCTCGGATCCGCCCGAAAGAAGCGCCGACTTCATGGTGGATTTGGATTTATTCTGTGCATGTTTGTTTTTCTAAACCTTCTTTTTTTAAAGGAATTCATCTGTCCATCATAAAAGTGCACCTGTCTGTCCATCACAAAAGTGCATCTGTCTGTCCATCATAAAAGTGCACCTGTCCATCATAAAAGTGCATCTGTCTGTCCATCATAAAAGTGCATCTGTCTATCATAAAAGTGCATCTATTCATCATAAAAGTGCATCTGTCCATCATAAAAGTGCATCTGTCTGTCCATCATAAAAGTGCATCTGTCTATCATAAAAGTGCATCTATTCATCATAAAAGTGCATCTGTCCATCATAAAAGTGCATCTGTCCATCATAAAAGTGCATCTATTCATCATAAAAGTGCATCTGTCCATCATAAAAGTGCATCTATTCATCATAAAAGTGCATCTGTCCATCATAAAAGTGCATCTATCATCATAAAAGTGCATCTGTCCATGATAAAAGTGCATCTATCCATCATTTAAGTGCATCTATCCATCATAAAAGTGCATCTGTCAATCATAAAAGTGCATCCGTCCATCATAAAAGTGCATCTATCCATCATAAAAGTGCATCTATCCATCATAAAAGTGCATCTGTCCATCATAAAAGTGCATCTATCCATCATAAAAGTGCATCTATCCATCATAAAAGTGCATCTGTCCATCATAAAAGAGCATCTATTCATCATAAAAGTGCATCTGTCCATCATAAAAGTGCATCTATCAATCATAAAAGTGCATCTGTCCATCATAAAAGTGCATCTGTCCATCATAAAAGTGCATCTGTCCATCATAAAAGTGCATCTGTCCATAATAAAAGTGTATATATCCATCATAAAAGTGTATATATCATCATAAAAGTGCATCTGTCCATCATAAAAGTGCATATATCCATCATAAAAGTGTATATCATCATAAAAGTGCATCTATCCATCATAAAAGTGCATCTGTCCATCATAAAAGTGCATCTATCCATCATAAAAGTGCATCTGTCCATCATAAAAGTGCATCTGTCAATCATAAAAGTGCATCTGTCAATCATAAAAGTGCATCTGTCCATCATAAAAGTGCATCTGTTCACTTTAAAAGTGCATCTATACATCATAAAAGTGTATATTTCCATTATAAAAGTGTATATATCATCATAAAAGTGCATCTGTCCGTCATAAAAGTGCATTTATCATTCATAAAGTGCTCCACGGGCTTAATAATGCGTTCGTGTAAGAAAAATATTTAATTTGAAACTTTAGAGACTAAAATAACTAGCTTCCAGAAGACAACTAAGGGCCAATCCCAATTCTACCCCTTACCCCTTCACTTTCCCCTTCCCCTCCGTTTTGCGCGTCCACGTGAAGGGGTAGGGCTGTCCCAATTCTCTTTTGGTTGGAGGGGGAAGGCTAGGGTGAAGGGCCAGATAGCCCTTCAAACGAAGATTTTTCGGGAGCACACTTCAAACGAAGGGGTATGAGAAGCGTCACTGCTAACCCAGGCTGGCTGCCCAAGCAACAAAGGAGACCCATAAATTTAAGTATTTGTGGCTTTAATAAGTATTATAACGACAAATAATGATTTGCTTTATGTTACATTCAATGTTGTGTTCATATTTACGGTCAGTTTCTTCACAGAAACGTTTGTAAAAAAAAAAAAAAATCGCTAAAATTACCGTAGTTTGCTAACGATAGTCCCGCAACATATTTTCGTCGTCTCCGTTGTTTCCTGCGAACTTCACAAGATGCAAAAAAATAGCTGTAACCCATGCAACTGAGATAACTGCAGCTGTCGACGGCATCTTGGAAGTTGTGATAAACATCGGCGCATCTCATGTGACGTAGGCGCTAGCGACGACTTATAATGACGTTTAACGGAGGCGTAGTGGTGTCCCATTTCTTAGGGGAATATTTTCACCCCAACGCATTGCCACTCTGTTTCAAGGGTCAAGGGGAAGGCGAAGGGGTAGGGCTAGGGGAAAGGGAAGGGGAAGGGGTAAGGGGTAGAATTGGGATTGGCCCTAAAAGTCAGCATGCAAATAAAAAGCCAATTCAAAATATGAATATTTACAATAATACTAAAACAACACTGGTTTCAACACCAGCGAACCTCCACAGAAATCTCTCCGTCTATCTGTGCTTGTTATATTTTTTTTAAACCAAAAAGTTCGGTCAGTTGTTTTTGTGGCGGACGAACAGATGACGTGAGTCTCATTGATGAGTTTCACGCCGGATTGTACTGTATAAATAGGCCAAACGGCGTAGCGTTCACATCGTAGATCTCATAGTTGCCATGGAAACACTCCTGAGAACTTAAAACCTTTCCAGACACATCCGTCACTCTCATTTCCAGTCATAAGCGTTCAACACTCCGGCCTAAAGCGTCATTGTGTCGGCGGTGAATGTAACCTGCAGTTCACGTCAGCTCTCTGCTCTGGGTAATTGCGTAGTTGTGTAATTATGCACATTTATCTGTGTGACATTCGCCCTGGCTGATTTGCAGACTTACTGTTTAGCTCTAAGTTTCACAAGTTGAATGTTGATTATTCTCCTCATATTCTCCATTGTTGCGGCTCCTCTCTTCCCAGTCTGTCAGTAACGCTCTGTTCACTTCCTGTCTCCTCCTTCTGAAAGCACACTGTGCTCTGATTGGTCGGCTGGATCAGTGTGCTGTGATTGGTCGAGCGCTTCGAGTGTGTTTGGGAAAGTCCCGCCCCTTTTACCGCCAGTTTAACACACTACTAACTAACTCAACCAGGCCCCGCCCCTTTATTCTGCGCATGAATTATTATAATGAGGAATATTGTGACGTGTTCGTTCCCGGGAGAAACTCCAGACTACAATGGAGGCGTTTCAGGAGTTCAGGAACACTGACACTCATATAGAGAAGAACTGGAGCGTTTCACACTAAAAAGATGAAATGCAGGTCTAAACACGCCTCTAGATTGGTGACATCTGTACAACCAGCTGCGTCCTACTTTAGCCCTGCTGCCCGTTATAATATCTGCATGTGAAATCTGTTCCCTCAGCAGGTGAGAGAGTTTAACTCCCTACAGGACCATGAGGAACACATCCAGTGCTCATTAATCATCACAGATCTTACACGGGTTATTCAGAGCGGTGCCTTAAGTAACAATGAGTTTTAGAGCGTGATGAAGCGGTGCGTCAGGAACATCCACAGCGAGAGGGACTTTACCTTGATCTTCTGGGATAAAAGAGCTCAGTGCATTATGGGAACATAAAAAGAGCCTTCATAGGGAGTAATAAGTACAGTCAAACCAACAATTATACAGACACCAGTTATACTTCATTTATGTAAGTGAGGAGCGCAAAATAAAGTAAACGATGACACATTACATCCAATAATTCTTCATTCCAGTAAAAATTTGTGAGAGTGTACATTTTTTTAGAGTGTAATATTAAGAAAAACCATAATCGTATCGTAATCGGTGATTATAAAATGGCTCATTATCCGACAATCAGAACCATTTCCCTATTAAATAGCTGAATTAGCCCTATTCTGACTATTTTATTATTATTTATTATTATTATTATTTTTTTATTGATTGTTTTAGACATGTTTGTGTGTGAGTTTGTGTGTAACTGATGGCCATATCAAATTCCTGTGTATCTGCCGATGCATTTGGCGAATAAAGTGATTCTTGAATCAGTCTTTGACGTCTGAATAAGTGCATGTGTGAGTCTCTCAGCAGACAGTGTTTCGGAGAGGGGATAACACTCCTGAAAATGCTGGGTTGTTTTAACCCAAAGTTGGGTCAAATATGGACAAACCCAAATGTTGGGTTAAAAATGTAATTTAAACATTTAAAGGTGCCGTCTGAAACTAAAAATCAAAAAATATTTCATATTCCATAACAGATGGGGGCAGTATACCTCCAGAAAATGTGTTGTGCCGCGGCCGCGCGCACTCTCACGTCTTCAAACAACACAAGCGAGCGCTGTTTTGCTCTCTTTCTCCGCATATTATTCAAATCATTTGACACGATAGTAAAAGGTCGGAAGACTGCAGTTTCACGTGGAGCATTTGGAGATTTTTAGAGACTCGATGAACAACATCTCAACACTAAATGATGAAGACCGTCTCATAGACGCGTCTCAAAAACAAGCTGGTGCATTTCGACGATATGCGGAAATAAAAGCCTGCGGGCTATTATTTCTAGTTTACGGTATTCGTTTTGTTCATATTACACTTTTATTGTTAGTTTGAATTATTTGACAGATAGCATTCGCTGATGTTGATCAAGCTAATTCACCGTGAGACACACGCAATTGACACTTAGCAAGCAGGTTAGCTGTCACCCCCCTTTTTGAGAATGGGGGTTAAAATGCACTATTCAAAATTAAATGGTTGTAATTTAAGAATGCTTTGAAATATACCCAAGTTTGGTCTTGTTTTAAAGAATACACTCAGCAGAATATTGCTGAAGTGAAAACACTTCAAAAAATGAAAGTATGAAAAAGTTATGGAAGTTTAAATTTACAGTTAATTAAATATACTGTACTATATATTTTATATTTTATATAAAATATATATTTTATAAAATATTTTTTACTCTAAAATTTCTATAAAATCAAAGCCATACATCTTATCAAGTTATGTTCCAAATTTGAAGTTGATATCACAAAAATTGAAGTTCCCATGAGATTTTGTTTAGGCGTCGTACCAAAAATAGCCACCGAGTGCCATTGAATTCCATTGAATTTAGTTGAATACATTCTGCCTTAACAAATTAATACATTTCTGTCCAAATGTCAATTCTGTCACAAAATTTGGAACCTTGAGACTCTGACCTTTCAGAGAGGTGCACTCTTGTCATAAATTCATCAATTACTCTTCCTACATAATTTTTAACACAAAACAGGGGTAGAATATCTATTTAGAAGTCTTAGACCTTTCCAACAATATATAATTTGTCATAATTA